GTCCAGACCGTAATTCTTGCGCAATATTACGGGCCGTAATATCTTATGTAAGATTACGTTTATATAATTTGCTGATGTGGCCTTAAGTTCAGTTCTCTCAGCCTCAAGTTCAGCGATCTTATCACTAAAAGCAACGATCTCAGCATTCTTATCCTTAAGCTTGTTATTCTTGACCTTAATCTCAGCAAACTTCTTCCTAAGCTCAGTAATCTCAACTAAGAGCTTGGCATTTAATTCTCTTAATGAATCGTTAGATTGAGCGTTTGACATGTTCGATAAATTATATACAAGAACAGAAATATTCAGAAGCTCGTTAATATACTGTATATAGAAACAGTTAAGTAAAAAATTGAGCTATGTCGGCCGATCGTGACAAATTTATCCCGGTTTTTTTACCAAGAAAAAATTTTATTAATTTTTGCCTATCTGCTATCGCTATGAAATTTGTCACATTTAAAAAATACATGATAAGAATATACTAATGCTAATAAATTGCATACTAGCTATTATAAGATTAAAACATAATAAGCGCAACGGTTCTCTTATTTGTTATTAGCCTTAATAATATTCAAGATCGTCATTGTCCTTCTCATTTATTACATTAAATAAATACTAGCTACTATTTTTTCATCTCTTCAATTGCAGTTAATACTTGAGATTTTTGAGATTTGCTCTTTGGTGTCCACCATGGTTTATGGATGAACACTGATTTGTATGAATTGTGTCGTAATGATCTAACGCCATCAACTTTGAAAATATCTTCATGTAAGTTCCGACTATGGTTTAACTCATCAAGTATTTCGTTGACTTCTTTATACATTTCCTGTATAAATTATTAAATATTACGTCATTTTCTTTGATGTCAAAATAGTAAAAAAAATCATATGGGGATGGTTGGTTATGCGCATTTCAATCAACCAACTTATAGTGCTTACCATTATATGCTTAAAAGATATTATCACCGATTTTAATTTTCTAATGTGATTCAATCTTGTTGGTATCTCAAATATTGGTCCCGGATAAACGACATAGAAACCATTTACCAAGTCTTCTACCAATAGTTGTCCAAAGGCACCTGCAATTTGTAAATATGGAACCTTGATAATACCCGTTTGTGCGTCAGTTAAATCTCTGCTCAACAGGCCATTTAAGATGGATTGGTTTATCCTAGCTGAGCGACAACGATCTTCGATTGCTTTAGTTGGAGTTGCTTGAGCGGAAAACTCCCATTCACCAAGATCTATTCCCGTATGACTTAAAAATCGGACATCACATTTCCTACCTCTTTCATAATTAGCGGACTGGCTTAAAGGACAAAAAGACTCTCCCCTTATGAACAAAAATATTCATTATTCATACGCTTGCAAAGATCAAAAAGATATTATTTATTTACCATTTACAATGTATTTCAGTTCCATTCTGCAGTCCATTGACAATGTAAGAACATGTTTTTACAATAACATCAATTTCGGTGTGATGCTCACCGCCACAATATAAAAGATCATTTCCATCTTTAACATTGTAGAGACTACATGTGCAATTAAAAAAGATAATAATGACAAGTACAGACGATAAAATGAATATAAGAAAATACTCACAAATCACCATATATTTTACTTATTTTGTAAAAACACGTATTGACGGATGCATCTGCATGCTGATTAAGACAATATTTATATGCCCCATTAGCATCGCCTTCCTTTATCATCTATGTACCAGTAAAAAAATAAATTTAAATGTGTAAGATAATATTAAATACATTCATATTGTATACTTACTTTTTCCACCTTTGCAATGAACTCATTAATGTCTTTTGTCAATTCAGGAACTTTGAGAATTTCTTCATGATCTTTCATCATATCCTGACGTTCAGTTTCAGTAAACCATACTCGCATATGAGCTGAAAGATCAATAACTCTTGATACTCCATATCTTAAAGTTGCTTTCTCTTCTGCAGTCAGCTTCTTTTTATTTTTTAACATTTCAGTATGTTGAGATAAATTTTTAGCAAAAATGTCTTTAACAAGTTTTCCCGAGGACAAATTCCAATTCTGTATATTAGTTGGCAGGGAAGAACAAAGAACATTATCCAAGGTAGGAATATCTTCGTCATTATCATTATCTACCATTAATGGATTATCATCCTCATCGTCATATAACGAAATGAAATCTGGTGCTGGTGGTGGTTCTTGTAGTATTGTACCATTGGGAAGGATGTTGGGAAAGATATTTCCAGAATTACTCTTCTCCTAATCACAAAGGTTAGAATAAGTGTCTCACTATGATGATAATTACTGGTCATTATGGACTTACTTTTGAGCGAATCCAGCTTTCTGGTGGACTTGCATGCTTGATAGTAAATTTTCAGAAGATAATGATAAAGGCAAATGAATAATTTGAGGAGAAAAGCGGAATGACAACTAAAATTAAGTTATGTCCCAACCTTATTTGGGGGAGTTGACGGAGTTGACAGAGTTGATTCCTCATTTGGATATTTTCGCTTACTTCCAGTTATTGGTTTATCCTTCTGATTCTCGTTCAAGACAGTATTGGCCTTATTTCCTGGTGTTGTAAGAAAAGTATTGGGTGGTGGTGTTGTGAGAAAAGTATCGAGTGGTGGTGTTTTGAAAGAAGTATCGGATGGTGGTATTGTAAGAACACTAGGAGAGTCAAGGGCCAACATATAATCTAATTTTGCCTTGTCTGCGATCACATGAGCTTCATTCCCTGACACATAACGATCAACAATAAACTGGGTCTGCCAACAAAAGGTCGCATGGTTATTGTGAAGATTGAAACTTAGTATATATGTGTCGAACATACCTTGGCTTGCTCCAACTTCTTTTTCAACAAACGTTCATCTAAGTCAACTTTTTCGTTTTCAACAATATTCCAGAATAATTTAACTTCCTCCCACTGCGTTTGGCGCTTGAGAAAATAAAATGATTGAGTTTAGAAACAAAAAAAATGAGGCTTCAGGAGCTGACAGATTATTAGGGACTGCAAACGAACAACGTTCTTGATAAAGAGACCGCGTCTCTAGTCTTCATGCAGACTTAAAATGGAACCCACCGGGGAGCCCCCATAACTAGCCTGACCGCGTCTGACCGCTTAGGTGGTTGTTTCGACATCGTCCAATTCCATCTCTATCCAGACCTTTCTCTTTAATACAGAATTTTGAAGCACTTACTTTAATCATTTCATTTTCTTTGAGAGCTGAAGCGACTTCTTTCCATTTTTTATCAGTTGCTGTTTCCGCAATGTACAATACAAACTTAAATATTTCAGCATGCTCAACACTCTTCTTGTACGTGAAGTCATCTTTCATACGACGGAATTTGAGGATCGAAACAAGGTTAAATTGATCAGGGCTCAAAGCAAATTCCCATCCTTCAAACTGAAGTGATAAATTTTGAATCTTAAGACGAGAAAAAGGAATAGAAATTAAAAACTAAGGCGACTATAGTATGACCATGTATCACGTTATTGTTGAAAAGTTCACCTTTTTTTTGAGCATTACAGTAATGTTTTTTTTTGGCGAAAATATTGGATAAATGTTAAAATGTTGAGTGTAAGGTATCTATAAATCAGACGCGCTATAAATAGGATCTACAACTAAGTTACAAAAGTCACGTTTTGCTTCTCGATAATTTTCAAGCCTCCAAAAATTTGATGCAAATGCCTGAAGTGGACGAAACTTTATTAATGATTAGAAAGCGAATGAAATGTATGAAGGGAGGGGATACACGGATTCCATATGAGTCCCAGTATTAATTTATTTCGTAGTTTCATGAATTAGGCAGGAGACCCCCAAAAGTGCGGGTCTCTTGATAAGAGCTACAACCACTGCATAATTTTCTAGAAAATGGTTGAATCGTCTAGCTCCTACATACAGCTTTATTATTGTAAAAATTTCTTAAACCGAATTATATAACAAAGCAATATACTACTGGCTATTAATATGGGGCGATTTATTGTTATTTAACATTAATTATTCGAGAATTTTCACATTCACATCGCTTATATATTCCATCCGCTACTTTTTTACAGGTCTTACAATATAGGTGTGAATGATGATTACATTCGTCACAAACCTTACACCTGTGCTTCCAGCCTCTAAAGATGTGCCACTTTTCGATATAATTTCGGCTTTTTTTATTTGTTAATACGTTACTCTTATCTTTCATTGTTATATATTAGCCGAAAAAAATATATACGTGGCTAAAATTTTTTATACAAACCTATAATGTATGGCACTTGTGTTTATATTTACAAACAAACAAATTATACATAAGCTTATATGTATGAAATTTGGTCTGCCATTTTGTTATAAAACGAATTTATGTAAATTTATTATAACATTCCCCGATATACAGCAAAAATAATAAAAATAAAATAAAAGTCGCTGACCAGAGGTCAGCTGTGTAACAGTTACACAATACGCAGTATATGTATGATTTTATGATTTAATGTTATCTACAATATA